GAGTCACTTCTGTATCTGGGCTCTCCTCGGTTATGTTAGGCATCATTCACACCAAAGTCACATCTGTGACCCCCAGCAGGGCCCACTGCTTGCCTTACATTCAAGTGTTCGAGCCCATTCACCACCACCACAAGCTATGATTGTTCATCCATTCAATGAGGGTGCCTTGATGTTGAAGGGATCTTGATCCAAAAAATTTTGATAACTTCCCGTTCTTTAGATCAAACCTGGTTACCTTAAATTCCCTAGTCATTTTAAAAAACCCTCCATGTTCAGCATTTTCTCATAATCATCATAATATGGTAATTTACTAGTTATGACAGAAGTCATCGAGGAGTCTGGCAAAGCATCACCTATCTAGCATTCTGAGTATAACAGCTAGGGAGGTGAAGGAATCTGTGAGCATCCTGGGTCCCTCAGAGTAAAAATGCTCCTTTTATTAGAAAGCCTTCTGCTGACAGGTCGTATGGGGCTCGCCTGAAACCACAGGAAACAAAAAAGGAGGCAGCAATTAAGCTATCCAAACTGTATCCTAGCCATAATGGACAATCTCAGGTAGCTTACCATACAGACTGTAGCCCAGTCATAAAGGGTAATCTCAGGTAGCTGACTATACAGACCGTAGCCCAGCCATAAAGAAGGGCAATTTCAGGTAGGTCAGCCATTAAGAAATTAGAAGATCAGATAGGTATGTATACATGTACATGAACAACTGCATTAGGTGTTAGTGGTGATAACAAGAGGCACCTGTCATCTTACATATTTATGAGAAAGACGCCTGCATTCCTACCAGACTAAAAAGAAATTACTGGTTTCCGTTTTACACTCGCATGACAGAATAATAGTACTATACTGCATGGTTGCTGTCTACCAACCTACTACCCCTAAATAATGTAATTATGAGCCTTAAGCATAAGTTTCAGTATGTGTTAGCAACAAATACACACTGCAGGAAACCTTGCTAAGTTTGGGTTAAAGTATATTACCCTTCTACAGCAGAAAACAGAAAAAGTAAATAAATATGGGAAGAACAGTTCTCTGCATTATTTAGAAAGTTAACTTAGGCAAAGTGGGAGTCTATGTCTGTAAGAATTTTCAGTTTGTGAATGTCATCATCCAGTTTATGCACATACAAACAGTAACATATTTCATATGACATCTATATTAAGAAATTACATTCCAAATGCATTACATGGTAATAAACGCCATACATACTCTAACTAGATCACGAACTAGCTTCATTCTCTTCAGTAATAAACACACAACAATAAACCGAGCATAGTAACGAAGTTTCTTCACCATTAAATCTGACCTGCAAAAAAAAGTATATAAATTACTACATATATCTCAAAAATTAACACTGTTGTATCTCCAACACAAACATAGATGAGGGATGGTAGTTGGTTGTATACAGTAATAATGGGTTATTTGACAGGAAATTAAACATTTCAGTACTGTACCAACAAAATACAAAAAATAATCACTGACAATTACTCTTTAATTTATCATTAAAGTTCATTAATACATTATTATAGGCATTTCTGATGAATGCTATCATACTCACATTTGTACAGAGCGATCATCTTTGCTGGTTCTGCTGTAATACGCTCGACCTCTGATGGCCGCATAAAAAGAAAATGCTTCATTTAAGTAGTTTGTTTCACTTGTTCTCAGGCTGTGGGAAATGAACAGGATAAAGTGAGACGTACTGTAGTGTAACTTATCACATCAACAAATTAACTGAAGAACACTAAAATTTCGTATTCAAGAGATACTACGCAGTCTCATCTACTGCAGAGTTTGAAGAACAGAAGACCTATTTCCGTCTCAGGGATCCTATGGAGGATCACACACACACTAACACTCTCTCACCAGTGATCCCAACAAGGCCACTTTACATCCAACATTACAGTTTCCCCTCTCCTACAGAAATAAATCAGTACCAGACTACAGTTTTTCTATTAGATACTAACTGTCTCATACATTTTGATTCCTTTTCTGGCTAATGAATTGCATACTTAGGTCCAATGTTAAAAACACAACTATGACACACAAAACAGATTGGAATTAATAACCAAAAATCAGACTAAAAACTATACACCAGTGATTACCATTCTAACAAGGAAGTTTAAACAATTATATTATGCAGGCAAGTTCAATGAATGAAAAGGGCATATGAAAAAGGCCAAATGAACCTCATATCCAGCCTGCTGAAACAGCCAATATACTAAATGATTTCTTCTCTTACTATAGGATCAAACCTAGCCAGCAAAATCCTATGTACCAATGCCCCAGAGAGTGACTACCTCGTTGCAAATTTCTCTCCATCTAGCTACAACTAATCTCACTGAGGCCACTCTGGAAATATATTCACTGCAAAAAAAGAGCAGAAAGCTTAGCTAATTTACCACCACTAATGTACAAAGCCTGCAGTTTTCATTTAATCTCATCCTTGTTTCTGTTTCAGCTTTTGCCCTTCTTTCGGGCAAAGCTGTAAAAAAAAATCAGAACTTGTATCATTTTATTTTGTATTGTATTTATAGTACTGTAACTCGTACCACTCAACCACCTACACCAGATAATATTTTTTTGTTTTTTGAGATATTTTATGATTAAACCTGTAGCTATTATTTATTTCTAACTTTATACTAATACTGTATAGTAGACCCTTGGGGAATAAATGAAAAAAATAAAAAGTTAATAAAACACCTTCGCAACACTTCCTTTTCACCTTCATCCTTTCACACATGCACTCATCCTCTACACTTTTAGTCTCCAAAGCCAGCACTCTGCTGTCATGTAGCACTAAAGAACTCAAGACTCTGAAGTAACTCTTTCACAATCTCCCCTGTAGACTTACTTAGCTGATGCCAGTACCCCTCACATAGATCTATGTTTTAAGCACAGCACCCTGAAATATACTGCAAGTGGTAAATTCTGGCTTAGACATAAGAAAATGGGTCTGTGGCGAGTGTGCACAGTACAGTATAGAGAGAATCTTGCCCCATGCAGGGAATGATGGGAAAAGCAAAACTCTGACCTTGAATTTGGTTTAAAAGAGTGACTGAGGTGTTATATAGAGAAGTTTTATGGTTTTATTAACTGTTTCTTGGTATCAGTTGAGAGAATAAAAGACTTCCTAGTGAAACAGAGATGATCTGGTCACTTCTGACCTGAAGTAGCTTAAAATGGGGCTGAAAGTGGAGGAAATATTAACTTTTTGGCAATTTTCCTGAGGAAGGGTAAGGCTCCCATAGTTTCCCCAGTCTATCTTATGACCTTTTACTAGGACTGAATCAATTACTGGGATGACCTAAACCATGAACAATCATTTTCTATGTTTTATTATCAGAGAAATTGAGTAAAACTACTATTTTTTGTGTAATAATGAATTCAAAATGGAGGGCAAGTGTTATATAGGAGGCCTGGGAAGGTGACTAATGAACAGAGGAAAGGTTGTTTAGTGACTGGAATACCTACTGTATTTATTTTGGATTTTTGGTTTTAAATTTGAATTTTTTTTAATGTCATGTACCAAGTCAAAAGAAAATGGACTAGCAGTCAGATGTGGTACTGTACAATGAGGCGAGTTCTTTTTGGACCACATTCTTCTTTTTTTTTTTTTTTTTGTTTTTTTTTGTAAATGATCATGTGGTACAGTACATGTATGCTTGTATTTGTTCATAAGAAACAGTCAAGACTGAAAAAATAAAAAGGAATTAGATATGGAAATTATTGTATCAGTTCATGTTTCAAGTTTTAACCCTTTGACTGTCGCGGCCGTATATATACGTTTGTGAGGTACCGTGTTTGACGTATATATACTCAAATTCTAGCGGCTTCAAATCAGGCAGGAGAAAGCTAGTAGGCCCACATGTGAGAGAATGGGTCTGTGTGGTCAGTGTGCACCACATAAAAAAAATCCTGGAGCACGCAGTGCATAATGAGAAAAAAAAAAACTCCGACCGTTTTTTTTTAATTAAAATGCCGACTTTGTGGTCTATTTTCGTATAGTATTTGTGGTTGTATTCTCGTTTTCATGGTCTCATTTGATAGAATGGAAACTATATTATAGAAATGGAGGTGATTTTGATTAATTTTACTATAAAAAGAACCTGGAAATGGAGCACAAAGTACAGGAAATGTTTGATTTTTGCCGATGTTCAAAAGTAAACAAATGATGTCATTGTCCAATAAATGTCCAAATAGCCATTCTAATACGCAGTCATGAATGGGTTGATGTAATTTTTACAATTATTACAGTATTGCAGTAGTCTGCATAACAGTAAATCTTCTATTTTTTGTTTGAATAAAATTTCAAAATAAAAAGCAAGAGTAATATCACAGGGACCTGGAGACATGACTGATGAACAAAGAAAATCTTATTTTAGAGCCAGGAATGTCTGCATTGTTCATTCTGGACCTTATTTTGAAATTGTCGTATTTTTTAATTTTCGTGAAATTGGCCAAATTGCAAATTTCTGACCATGTTATTGGGTAGTTGAAATCGGTAAATGGGCAGTTTCTTGTGCTCAATCGATAGAAAAAATAGAGTTCTGAGTTTGGGTGACTGGAATAACGGAATTAGCCGAAAATAGGGCTCAAAGTGGGCGAAATTGCCGATTTTTAAATATCGCCGAAGTCGCTAACTTCGCGAGAGCGTAATTCCGTCAGTTTTCCATCAAATTTCGTTTTTTTGGTGTCTTTACAATCGGGAAAAGATTCTCTATCATTTCATAAGAAAAAATATTTTTTTTTTTTTTTCGAATATTTTGCGACACCAGGAGCAACTTCAGGATTGGGCCCTTCGACAGTCAAAGGGTTAACAAGGGCCCTTATGGGAAAATTAGACTTGCTTAACATATTTTTTACTTAATGCACTATTCTTCTCGTTCCTATCAAGATCATTTAATGGGGGTAAGTTGTGGGTTTAAAACAATGCCACACATTTGATTTATGACACTCCACAAGTCGCAAATCTTTGAGCTGATGTCCAACTTCTAAATTGCACAAGTGGCACTTTCACTGTTAAAAAAACTTTGAATATCCTGCACTGTGCACTGACATCTCAAGACATGAATGAGTGAAACTTCTGTATAGTAGGCTACTGCCACCAGCTATCCTCAGTGAACTCATGCCACCTCTAAGATCATACTTTTCTAATTTATTTACTTTTAAAGGAAGAATAATGATTTTATGAAGTAAAGAAAAAGTGATTTCATTTAAATACTATTGTAAAAGTGCATCCAAAATCTTGGAATCTTAGCCACCTTGATAATACACACAAGGTAGTATCCTCAGTACATTTGCACACATTGCTCACTGGGATGCAAGTGGTCCTTCCCCCCACCCTACCTCCCAGTGTTCTAAGGGAGAGCACATCATTCAATACACAGCATTTCTCTTGACTCATGTTTTCCAAAATTTACTTTACTTGTGAATGCCTAATTTACAGAAAATTCCTATGTAAGAATTTAAGAAGTTTAAGAAAATATTCAGTGCACTAATATCAAGACCCCACAAAAGTTCACTAAAAGACAACTTTATACAGATTATTAACCCTGAAAGTTAGTAATCCATTATCAAACATTATCATAACACCAACATTCCCGTATATCTTTAACATGCAGATATTTACTCTAGCTCTATTTCTACAATTTGAATACGCTGGTGACCGATAACAGAGTGAAAAATTGTTTAAATGACGAGGTTGTAGTATAGGGAAGTAAGCAATCACTGAGGTGCACTAATTGCATCAGATGACTGTCCTAACATCACATTCTAGAGATTCCCCCCACACCTTGCTGGGCAGAGCAAAACAATGCTTATTTACTTATGAAAATGAGGAAGATGAATGGGCAAGTCCCCTGCCACATGCTGCCTCTGAAATATTATCAGCATAAAAATATTTTGAGACAGAAGGTAAAGGCACCAGGAGGAGGCCTGGTCACAGACCGGGCCGCGGGGGCGTTGACCCCCGAAACTCTCTCCAGGTAAACTCCAGGTAAAGGCATCTATAAAATAATGCCAGGTATTTATTATATCTCAATAATGAGACTGCATTACTGTTACTGTAATAACAATGGACATTTCTGGCAACCATGAACTTTATTTCTAAAATAAATTTAGCAAACAATATGATAACAATAATGGGCAAGCCTGGAAACAATGGAATTTGCTTTTAGGAACATTTTCCAGATTTTGTAAGTATAACCTGAAATCCTTTAAAGCAAGATTTTACTGTAAATGTCTGCTTGGTATAGGTCACTATTTTAATCCAAAAACAGGGTCAGTTGCTCCCATCACACATAACAAAGGGCATGAATTTTAATACTGTGCACACCCACCTCACAGACCCATTTTCTCATGTCTAAGCCAAAATTTACCACCCACAACAAATTTGAGAGTGCTATAAATTATACGTAATCTACAGCACCACCACTGAGCCTACTGCTGTAAATATACATCACCACTGGTTTAGTAATTACGGGTTAATGCCCTCACAATGACGAACTTCTTCCATGTATAACTCCACTCGTGCATTCTCAGGTGCAAAAAGAAATAATATCAGTTACAGGTATCAGACAGAAGTTAGCTAGTAAATCAATGGAAATAATAAAACTTTAGTCTAAAAGCTACAGGTATACGTACAATGAACATATTTTAACCCTTTCA